TAAAGAATTAACATTTACGTTACAGCAACATTTATGTCAAATCGATTTCGATCGACTCTCGTCCAACTTAAATCTTGATAATTGATAGCGATAAACTGTCGCTAACAACGGTACAAAATACGGTGGCAACAATCGGGAATCACGGCGCGGCGCATCAGCCTCGTGGCGAGTCTTTTAACGAGGAGAAACCACGGATCGATGCGGTTAATCCAGCGCGGCGGAGACGGTATCGCCTGATTGCGGCTGCGACGTCACGCGGACTGCTAAGGTACCGAAGCCAAGGCGAGCCAGCGGTCGACTCGGACTCGGATAGATGGCTACGGTGGTTGGTAACGGTACCGAATCTGCATACACCGTACCGTATACACGTTTACGCCGCGCGCACAGTCGGGCGCGCTATCGGGGAACCGCATCATGCTAATTCGCATCCTCCGCCGGCCGTTGAGATTCTCTCGCGCGGATCGCGTCCCTCGCCGGGACCACGGGCGTCCCGGTTTCGCCCGCGAAACCCAGCCAGGTCGATACGCGGCTATTCCCGCAACTGTCCGGTTTTCTCCTTGTGGAATACGCCGTTCCCGCGCGTTTAGCGAGCGATGCCTCAGTCCGTTGATTTCCGGAAGATAAGAACGCTAGATAACGATAAAATATAACAAGTTAGTTAAGATATATGGAATGTGTATATACGGAATATGCAAGCGAAAGCATGTACTTATAATATTAATTTATATAAAATAAATAGTATGTACATTAGATAGATACACATGTACGATATAAAAGAATTAATATCTGATTAAATATTTTGACTTAAAATCTTGTTCAGAAAGACAAAGGTCCATTTGATCTTGAATATAATAATATTATTATTATATTTTCTTATGCAATTGCGCTAATTGTATTTCTTCTTTTTATTCTTTATTTTTTATTGATTTGTCGATCATCGTCGCTTCTTCGTTCCCCGCAAACGTTCATCCATGATTCTGCAAATGCGTTACGCGATTACGAGGACGATTTGGAGAAGGCGGGCCGAGATGTCGGCGAAGGAAACGAAGCGAGAAAAAGGAGCGCAGTCGCGAGTCCTCTACCGATGAATCACTCTCTCGGCTGTATCGGACGATCTGGACAAGCTCACCCGCATGCTCGGAACATGTTTATCTCCGGTTTCGCGTGTCAACTTCGTCATTGTACGCCATTTCCCTCTCTTTCTCTTTCTCTCCCTTTCTCCCGCCTCATCGTCGATGCATCGATATCGCGGAAGTGCGGCGCCGCTGTCCGGAGCGTTAAATGGGACTTTCGTCGATCCCTCGCGTATCTGGGTGGGGGACGGGACGACGACGGTGGACCCTCCCGTCTGGTTTGGACCCCTCGTGCGTGGTCCCTCTCGCGAGGAAAGGTGAGAGCGGGAGAGGGATGGGACCAAACGCGACGGATGGAGAGGCGAACGGGAAGAGAGGCGACGCGGGATGGAGAAGGAAGGGCAGAGAGAAGAGCCCATTCCTTCGTTAGAGCCGCGGGGCGGAGGTTGGCATCCAGGCGCTTCTCAGCGGGGCGCCGTTTCTTCGAGTCTCGGCTCTCTCGAGCAGGAGAATCTCGTACGTGAAAGACTCCCTTCCACGCTCCTCATCTCCTTCTCCATCGTCGTCTTCTTCTTCTTCTTTCTCCGCGACCGCTGCTTCTCGTCCGTTCTCCGTTTCGCTTTTAACGTGCCACCCTCTCCCGGTCCCGCATCACCGCTAGTCTCTCGCGAGCTAGAGCGATCTCTCTCTCTCTCTCTTTTTCTTTCTCTCTCGCGCTGCTTGCCGTCTCGCTCTCGAGTCGCTATCTCTTCCGAGAACACGAGCGCTGCATCGCGCCGCATCGATGCGCGCCGTACGTACGCCCACGCGTTGTTACGAGTCGCAATTTGCCGGGGTACGTCCTAGACGGTGTTCCCTTTCGGCTGCGGGGTTTAAGTGTGCTCTCAATGCCCTCGCTCTCTCGGTTCCGCGTTCCGAAGATCGAGAGTCCTCCAGAATGTCGTCGAAGCTGCACCGTTTTCTTAAGATCCGCTATAATTTTAATCTGATGTTATTGATACCGTATGAATATTAATAGCTCAAAAATTTAGCACAAAAACGTACAGATGCGAAAAAACAAAAGTACAAAAAAAAATGAAACTAATCTATTATTTACTAAAAATATAGAAAGATACAGTATAATTTTTGCATTAATTTTTCATTTTATAAATATATTTATTGTATATGAAATAAATAATTCTTTGTAAACTTATTTCTTTTACTTGGAATCTTTTTCCACGACCGTAATAATACATTTATACAAAATTTTCCACAGGAAAAATAATTTTCAAGAACACTTGTCTGTTCTTGACATTTATTTTTTTATAAATAATTATTATTACTATAATTAAAATTGTAGCAGAGTATAAATATAATTATTATTATCAATTTAAAATTTCTAAGAAGAAGATCGATAAGTTGCGAAATTATTATTCTAAATTACGTGGAAAAATCCAGCCTTGAGACGCCTCAAGTTTCCACGTATCCAAACGAGCACGCGCATTTAAATAATTCACATTATTCGCTTCAATACTCGAGAAGTTGAGGCGCAGATTTGCGAAGGCTCGTCGGCAGCTCGTTCCGGTCGCCTCGTTTTCAGCATTGTCACGCGCACGCGTTGCCCCGTCATTTGCCAATTATCGCGAGTGAAAGCACACTCGAGTAACGCGAAGTAATTGCGTTACGCGGACAGATGAGCGCAATCGCGCACGCTCGCACGGCGGACAATCGCGCAAGAACACGCGCGGTCGTTACTCAACAGAGTAATCGCGTCGTCGTCCACTACCACCTCTTCCTCCTCCTCCTCCTCCTTCTTTTCGCGTATGTACGTACATGTATGTGTGTAGTCCGCGCGCGGAAAAAATACGCGGTCCGGTAATAATCGCGGTAATCGCGCCCGGAGAATGCGGTAGAGGCGCGTTTATAAGTACGTAACGGTTTGCAGGACATCTCGCGTAATCGCGCACGGCGAAAAGGCATGGTCGTCGCTCGCGATCGAAGCCCGCGGGAAATCGCCGATCGATAACCGAAATCTAATAAACTCGCGTTGTCGAGGACGAATCGTATAATCTTCATTTCGTGATCCGCGATAGAGAAGACTTATTCAAAGAAGAAACAAAATTAAAATTGTTTAAATAATATTTTTGTTATTATATATGTATATAAAATATTTTTCTAAATTTTTAAATTTAGTTAAGTTTATCTAGACCTTGTTATACATTATACGAATTTTACGATATTTTAAGCGAAGGCGCGACTATAAGAAGACATGTAACGTTTTTATCAGACGTGCACGCTGATTGAAACGGTCATTACTCCAGACTGCAATATTGAACACTTCTGTCTTGCGGAAAGAGCATATAATACGTAATGCAGCGAAACTACAAATTCTCTCGATAATGCACGTGTCTCGGCAAAAAAAGGGGTAACTAAATCCGTCGAAATAGTATGTCTAGAATTGCAGCGCGGGTATTAACCTCAATGATACGACGACGATGATGGGGGGATAATGATGATGATGATGACGATAATAATGGCCGCGGTCGATGAACCGGGCACGGCCACAGCTTTCGGCGAAATTTGTACTTGCTTGCGATCGAATCACCGACACCGCGGCGTCCTCCCCCCGGCTCCGGCCGATCATATTTGCGTGTACTTGAACGCTACGTGCCGCGTTATGGCACGCAGCCGCGGCCGTGTGTTTGCCTTTGCACAATATTTGCAGGCACTCGAGAGTATCGCCGCGAGAGACTCATCCGGGTTCCGGTACAGGTGTCGTGCCTCTCTCCGTGGCGGTTCGCGACGCCGCGGTGACTTCTTGGAAGTGGCTAGCGCACGTAGCGAAGTAGTGTACGCGGGTAAATGAGCGCGTTATGTATCCTCCCCGCGCTGGAACCTCGCGCTGCGAGGCACGAATCCGCTCGAACGGTCTTCTCGGCGAAACGGACCGTTAGCCACGCGGTGGTCGGCACGAGCGAAGTCCGAGAAGAGGACCTCCGCTCGTTACGTCACCGCCTGTCCGATGAGGATGGTCGCCCTGGGCGACGTAGAAATTCGCGCTTATAGACATGCGTGGCGCAACCCGTTCGTCAGATATCTTTTTTTAGATCGCGCTGATCGAAGAAATGAGCAAGAGAATTGCCCTTGCCGCTTAGGCTATTCAAGGCTACTCGTACGCGATCGCTGTTAATTTTTTTACACGCGCGATCAAGGTCAACGATATGATTCGTCGCTGAATCGCTCACGTCTGATTCTTATCTCGCGTTGATGTTAATCGTTAATCGTACGAAGGCATCGATATTAGCAATTTGTACGTAACGGTGAACGGATATGTCTCTTTGGAAATGAGCTCTAGTACGGTTTAGATAGATAATATTTCAACCAGCGGATTGCGTACCGAAAAGTGAAAGAGCCCGTTTCTCTTTTATGCCGGAGAGTCGCGAACTCGATGACGCGTGACTGCATAGATAAATCTCATTGCGCAACAGGCTTATCAGACTCCTCGTGTACGTTGAAATTTTCCTAGAAACGTTGAGACAGTTTTTAAGGAAGGGGTGGATGAAGGTCATATGTGAAACTGGGACGAGTTAAAGCGCGTTGGCTTTAAAGCGAGATGTACAATCGCGATAGAATTTATGAAAATTGCATTAAAAATGTAGCTTGCATTTTTTAAAGAGTTGGTAATGAAAAATAGAAGTGCACAGTTGATATATTTTACATTTTTCACCCACATTTTTCTAATTTTTCACATGTAATACTTCAAGATTGTTCGAATTCCGCAAGCTCGATCGCCCCTCAGCTAAGTTCGCCGTCTTGATCCGCCGTCTCTCGCGCAGACCTTGGGGCAAGACGGCCGAGTGATCGTACCGTGTAACGTGAAAGCGAGATCAGCATCTTAGGTAAAGGCGAGTCTTCACATTATCAAGCGCTCCTCTTCTGTGTTTTCAGCTGTGCAAAGGGGGCGAGTGCCGCCGTCGCAACCCTCGCTGCCGGGTCTGCCGGGCCAGTTCGCCCTGACGAACGGGGACGCGGTCGCGTGTGCCAGCCTAAACGGACACTCTTACCTCTCGTCGTACATAAGCCTGCTGCTGAGGGCGGAGCCCTATCCGACCTCGAGATACGGCCAGTGCATGCAGCCCAATAACATCATGGGCATCGACAATATCTGCGAGCTCGCGGCGCGGCTGCTCTTCTCGGCGGTCGAGTGGGCCCGGAACATCCCGTTCTTCCCGGATCTTCAGGTGACAGACCAGGTGGCCCTGCTCAGGCTAGTGTGGAGCGAGCTGTTCGTCCTGAACGCGAGCCAGTGCTCGATGCCCCTCCACGTGGCGCCGCTCTTAGCGGCGGCGGGCCTTCACGCCTCGCCGATGGCGGCGGACCGCGTGGTCGCCTTCATGGATCACATTAGGATCTTCCAGGAGCAAGTGGAGAAACTCAAGGCGCTCCACGTCGACTCCGCGGAGTACAGCTGCCTCAAGGCCATCGTTCTCTTCACCACCGGTGAGTCTGAGATTATTATTCCTAACCGCTCTGTGCGCTCAGTTCGATTTAAGTTAGAGTATATTTAAATATTTCTATACCCCCCCCCCCGTCCCTCTATATTTTAACGATTAAAATATACATGGTGATAAATTGCGATTCACCACCATTCAAAATACGTGCTTCTAAATATTATTCCGTTAATTTTGTTAAAATATCCTATGCTTCGCATTCACCAAAAGTCATGCCATCTGGAAGTTTTTCCAAGCTTTGTCAAGCCGTGATATCTTCGTCGAAGAAAAAAGACTTGCGGCATTTAAAGACTATCCCATGAAATATTATCTAAACGTCACGAGCGCGCGATGACAGATTTCGTCATGAGTTCCTCTTGAAAAACCCGCCCGGGACAAACTAGAAAGCCATCCCGCGTCGCGTTTTTGCGTCTAGCACGAGCCGAGGGGTCTTCACGACGTATTCCCGACGTTACAACGATACTTCGGTCGTCGTCCGTATTACCCGCGCCTGCCTGCCTGTCCCGCCTATAATCGTCATGACGATGCTATCTCGAAGACGCTCGTTGTCACGTAGCCGCGATCCTCGACGGGCCTAGAGAGGCTAGCAGCGCACCGAGAGGGACAATGCTCTTTCTCTTCCCCCGATCGCGAAGCCTCATGGTTCCTGTACCACGTACCGGGTGGCAGGAGAGCGCTGCGCCGGAAGAACTCTCCGAGCGCATAAGCGGAATGGTTCTCTCTCCATTTCTCTCTCTTCCCCCCCCCCCTCTCTCTCTCTCTCACTCACTCTCTGTCTCCCCAGAGAAGATGTACGCTCTCTCGACGTCGTCGTCCGTTGCTCGCTGACCGCGGGCTGCGTCTAATCGACGTGGCAGAGATATTATCGCCGCCGGTATGCCTGCGACTGTCATCCAGCAGCGCGATTCCCGTCGGGACCAGGAGACGACGGCGACGGGATGACGACAATTCACTGACGTAACAATGTGTAACGCCGCGGCGGTGGCGGCGACGCGGACGTACGTGGGTACGTACGTACGTACCTTCGTTGTGTCGCGATCGTCATCGAGCCGTTGAGACAATGCGTTTCTCCACTTCCCTCTGTCCGTCTCCCGCCGCAACGTGTTCTCGCTCCCCGAAGCCAATCTCTAGTCCCGGTATCTATCTCCTGCCTTTCCCTCCATCTCTCTCCCTCTTTCGCCGCATCCGATGACAACCGCATCCTGTCCGAACGAGCGCTCGCGCGAGCTATCTCCCGGCCCATCTGCTCCTTTCTCCAGGAGGAACCACCACCATCGCACGCGCATCACGTATACCGAGAGAGGATTTCGGACCGGGCGGCGATCCTCTCCTGCCGGTGTGTTCTCTTCGTTGGATACGTGCACGCACGTTCGCACGCACACGACTCGCGGCCGGGCGGTAGGTTTCAGTCAGGGGGGGTCGACGAGGACGATGAGGAGAACGGCGGCGGCGGCGGCGGCGGCGACCACGACGATGGCCCATGCTAAAGCATCTCGCCGTAGATACGAGATGGGAGGCTATTTATTTCCGTGCTATATGGGCACGCTTAGCTTGGCTTAGCTTATGCTAATGTCCCCATTCTCGGGGAACCACCTCCACCTCCTCCTTTTTGCCCCGCTCGACTTTTTCTACTCTTTCTGCGCCCGGACGCGATCGCTGGACCTCTAGTCCTTTTCTTCCTCGCGTATCCCTGCTATTTGGGTGAGCCTTTCTTCCCTTCTTCTCCCTTACGACTTAACGTTTAACGCTTAAAGCTGCTCAGCTTATATGCGATCTTTTTTAAATGTAATTATATTTTTATGAGCGTAGCATGCTTGTATATATGATGATCGAAAAAGAATTCTTTGACTAATTTGAAGTCCGAATTATTTAAAAAGAATAATACAGAAAAGGTAAAATATAAATGTAAAGTTTTGATTAATTTTTTTATTAATTAAATATTTAACAAAAGTTTTGCAAAAATTAAAGTCGGCCAGAAATTAATTAATGCTAAAATTTTATTAATTATTTATATTTAAAAGTTTAATTTACGAAAAGCAATCCGTTTATAATTGTTTATTCAAAAGCATTTTTTATTCAAATATTTTCCGTATTTCTAAAAAAATGTTTTTATTATTTGTAATTTTTATGACGAAATGTTAAAATATTTTTCTTATATTTATATTTACAACTATATATTTGGAAACACAAAAACTTTTAAAAAGGTTTTAAAGATCAGGTTTGAAAAGATTTTAAATATTCACTTTTAATTTACTGATAACACGAACATGCACGTACGTAAATCGGGAATAAATACTGGTTAATAAATTTTTACGTAACATATCGTAATACGTGTTGATATGCCGACAACCGATTCGAGATAAGCTTATTATTTATTATAATTAAGGGATTAAAGGATCGCTATTATGAAGGTTAAAAAGCGAACGGGCCAGGACACACCGTCTCGTTTAATTTAACATAATGGAAGGCAAGAGCATGGAAACGGTAACTCGCGATCGTGAATGAAATTCGTTTGAAATGAAAAGCACAGAATGAATGTTCGCGCGTACCGCGGCACGTTATTACGCTAATCGAGGTGTGTCGCTCTTTTAGCGAAACGCAAAAGTAACGAATGCGAAATGCATTATTAATTACACCGAGGCCGGTATGCCGTTTTAAGATTGCATTACGAGATAATGAACGGCCGCCGTTCAAATTTTTGCTCCGTTCGCTCCACATAAGTAAGGAGCGTTTGATAATAATTAGCGTTCGATACTTAACGCGATCGTGAGAAACATCTAGTGTCGCGATAACGATTATCTCAACCGGTCTGATATGTAAATTGCTGTTACCAGAAAACGTACGTCATAACATCTTATGTCGAGCCGTTTAAATCATCTCGCAACTTCCCGCTGTCTTAACAGCTGAATTGCTTTTGTTGCGCGCAAGAACTTGCGCTACGAGAATCGACTGATTAATATCTTCAACAATTATAATAAAATCTGATGTAATTTTACAGCAGACTATTTATCAGCGTATCATTTCTATTAGTTTATTATTCTTACAATTGTATTTATAATTCCACTTTGACTATTCATACGATTATTTCTTACTCATTTAAAAAAAGACAAGTAATGAGGAAAAATGAGAAACCGCTCTCTAGCTTGTTAATGTGAATCAAAGTGTTTATTTATTCAGATTGGATCAACGTTCGTTATGAAAATTACGTCAGCGAAATCTAATCACGATAATGGTAGCTGGAAACGAACTCGTGCCTTTCGTATTCCAATATCTATCGCGTATTTTAATACATGTGTTTAGCGCTGCTTCGGAAGATTCCGGTGCGATTACGGTATGTTACGTGTCACGTGTAATTGACGTGAAATTAGCGTGTCCGGCGGCGCGAGAGCGCGAATAAATTTCTTTCCGCTTTCCATCTCTCTCTTTCTCCTTACATCGGGGGAAGGGGGGGAGGGGGGAGGAATGGGAATTCCTCTCCGCCCGCGAGATGGAGGGTTGCGTCTTTTTTTCCGTGCACCACCCCGTGGCCGCCGTACGTCCACGGACCACGTGTCTAATTGTTCGGATAAAACGGCGGAACGAGGGCACGGTGCATAAAGCTAGCGTTTAGTTCGCTAAGATCGGCCGCCTCTCAGCTTTCTCCGATGTTGTGTATGCACGAGATACTGCATACCCGGTGGTCCAAAACGTCCCGAGCGCGCCGCGCCGCGCCGCTTGAATAATCGTCGCCCGGGATCATTACGTCCCCGACGTCGATACATCGGCCGTAATTATACGGGAAAAGGAGCTCGCCCGCGCGCGCGCCACGATAGCTAGAGAGACCTTTAATTGCAACAACAACCGACGCTGCCATTTATCCCGCCCGGTCAGTAATGTTTCCCGGGAATCTCGCGATCAATTTCGAGACGGCTATTTCGCGTCGCGTTGCAAAATCGGGCGTGAAGAGAAATCGATGCTGATATTTTTTTGCGGCTCCGAAGTTAATTTGTTTTTTCGTAATGAATTTTTCCATATAAAATATATAATTTTAATTAATTGTGATAAATAGTTTTAAAAGACATTATATGTATTTCAGTATTTTTCTCTGCTGTTTTCATCAGGTGAAAATTCGAGATGCAAGCTTTCTCGAAGCTTCCTCGTTCTCTCGTCTCTTCACGCCCCTCGCGAGAAGGCCCGTCGTGAGGAAAAACGCAAGACATCGCGCGCGAATCGTTATCAGCCGTCCCGTTTCCCGTCCGAGATTAGGAACGGTCCGATTTGCTTCGAAATCCAAGCTCCGCTACCTTGGATAAGATCGGCCGCATTATCTCGGCGTGCGCCGCGCCGAGCCACCCCGTAGAGGCGGGCATGTAAATGCGCGCGGCGCGGATATATTTATGCGAGAGAGGGTATTACCGGAGAGCCCCGCGCACAGAGCGAGTGCGCGGTACCTACGTGTATCTTGATGGGAAACACTCCCACGATTATGTGGCATGCAATGCAATTCCCTTTGCCTCTTGCCTTGCCCAACAGCCGGCAACCATCGCGCGAGCGAGCCTGACGAGCGGACGGGCGTGTTGCTGGTGTACATACGCCGCCGTTGCGTTTCTGCGCGCGCGGATGCCACCGGTATTTAACGATCTAATTAAGAACGTAAGCCCAACGAGGGACAGCCGACGTCGGCCTCCACGCAAGAGAGAGGGAGAGAGAGAGGGAGATGTAGATCTCGCGGTATCTCTACGGCGCCCCGGCCACTTCCGGCTACCTACGCGTTGACTTTTTACCGCGCGCATTCGACGACGCCGAATGTATTATACATACATCTCGTTGATGCTAATGAGCGGGAAGAAAGGTTGGACAATTAGATAGATGGGGAGATAATTATTAATGAACGGGTACTTACGTATTGATATTTATTTTAAACGGGGTTTTAAGAGATTCTTACTTACGGTTGAAATATCGTGAAGTTCTCAGCATTCGTGTGAATTATATTCGCTAAAATCTCGCAAT